GCGTGCGATTTAACGCAGAACGACCGGAAAGGAATCCATTAAACTGCTCGAGTGCCGGACGTACAACAAGAGGTCGAGCGTCCATCGGTGACCGGTGCATTGCGGGAAATCTATTTCGCCGGTTAAAGATCGCAATCGAGAGGCCGCGCGAGTAATAATAACCGGTCCCGGAAGACTTTGCCGACGTGGTTCGATTCACATCTTTCGTGGCTGGATATCGCGTTCGGCTAACGCGTTCCACCTGACCTTTTCAGGGCTCATCCAATTTCTGTGCCAGGTGGATATACCTCCCTCTGCCCCCGAGAACGCTCGCGCGCGCACGCGCGCATGCTCGCACCCGAGATCGCACGTGTACCGGCCCTGTGCTGCCACCCTATACATATTCATGCACACGTACACGCGGCATCGTGGCCCGGTATGAATTTTCGATAAAACCGCGAATTTCCACGGAGAATCGTTTCGGGCCGCGCGTCTGGGGAGGACAGTTTAACGAGATTCGCGGAGGACTCGGTGGAAGGGCGTCAAGCGTTTTTCCATCGAGCGCCGCCGGCCCGCTGCCAATCGAGATCGATACAACCCCGAGAGCCGGCCTCATACCATACGGGTCCTACCAATCCATTTCAGTAACTGTAATAACGATCATGATTACCGTAATATATCGTTTTTAACACATTACAGGAAAAAGCAGCGGATTCCTTTCGATTTCAGGTTCCGTCGAGCACAGCTTAATTGAACCTTCAAGTGATTGGTCCGTATGTCGCACAATGATCGAAGACACGATTCCGAATGTGCAAAATGATTTTTATGGTTATATTTCTCTCTGTATATTGTATGTTTAATATAATTGTATATACGGGATGTTCAACGTAACAATCGCGCCGATTTTTTAGGGAAACAAATTGCAATAATAAAAATTTCGAAAAATCTTTTATTCGTCGGAAAACGATGGAAAACAACTTTCTTAAATGGCACCATGTGCTTTTGATGGTATAGCGTTACAACCGACGAAGAGGCGAATTCAACGACTTATTACACAATGATCTTACTACACTAATGTGCACTGTAAATAAGAGGTAAAGATGTATGTTTATTGTCTGCATTCCTCTTCGAAGTATCCTTGACTCTTGAGTTACGATTCGCGTTTCATTAACGCGTCGGAAAATTATTTTCTCAATTACCGTGAATTTCTAAGCTAAAGGTCATTCGATGGTCATTGCGTAGTAAGTCGTTGATTTCGTCTCTTCGTCGGCTATAACGCTATATTATCAGAAGCATACGGTGCCATTTGAGAAAGTCAATGTGATCTTCATTTTTCATCGAATAAAAGATTTTTCGAAAATTTTATTATCGCAGTTTGTTTCTCTTGAAGATCACATGAACTATTACTTCGAACAGTTTTTTGTCAGATTAGCGTAAATGCCTCAAAAATCGGTACGACCGTCACGCTGAACAACCTGTATGTACATATGTACATGGTTTTTCATATTCTACTAGTCTGACCTCGAGTTGCTTTTCTCAATTTACTCTAATTTCAATCAGTCGCGTACAAAAAAACGCACAAACAATGCAAATCTATATAAACTATCGAAATTTATTACCGCGTTAATTACAGAAGAGCCTCTTCGAAAAGTTGCCGAAAATTAAACTTCCTCTAAATTGAGGTACTTAAGCTAATGAAACCGAAACTGCTGAGTTGAAGTTTAACGCAGTAATTACTCTTTCAAGTAATCTAGACGTTACAAATTGAAGTTCTGTTTACTCGGACAACTTACAAGAAGAAATAATTGTAAAACATATGTCAAGAATTGTATCAATGTACGCGTATCATCACGTTGATAATATTATTAGAAAACGAATATGTGAATAACTTCGTAAATAACATCGTTTGTAACATAAATATTACTTCAATGATTTGTTATTAAACAAACAACGTATCTTTGCCATTGTTAATATTTGAATTGTTCACCAATTTATATTCAACACCATAATTGTTTCCTAATTTTTTACATTTAATTCTATCTTCCCATTAGTACAAATAGCTTCTAATTTCGCGTTTATCAATTTTGCGCAGCTCGGGCTCATTTAATTGGGCAGAAATACGCCACATCTGGAGGTACAAATAATCACATTAAATACACTGTAATGAGGGAAAACAACAAAATAATTGATAAAATCATTCAATACCGAATCATTTCATGTAGCCTCAATCTGTACATACATTCCCGCTTATATTTGGCTACATAATTTCGTTATTCTGAAATAACACACTATCTAGGAAACAACATAATAAATCAATACGAATATATGCAGACTGATATCGATCATATCAGTAAACATAAAGTGATACTTCCTAAATGCTAATGTCCGTTTGCTCAAGAAGGCAATTAATTTGTTAAAGAATCCAATTTATTAGTAGGAGACTATACGAAAAAGCCGAACGATATTTAAATAAATCGATTAGATCGTTTAAACGAGAAGCTAGCATTTGTAGAGTGTGAAACGAAAATGAGTGAATAGTAATAATTACAATAGATATTGCCTATTTACCTAAAATCAGATGGACACATTGGCGTTATGAAAATATAAAAATGTAGTAATGATTCGTTTCCTAACTGTGTATGCATTTGCACTGTATGCATTGTTGCTACATTAGTTACATATCCATTGAATATTACCATTTTTATACATGTAATTTTGATACATAGAATCCTGCATTAACCCCTAGGCTACTGTATAGTAACAATCTATTCTAATATAGTTATGTGGCGGCTACCTCCAGACCCGCCAGCAGAGGGCTCCTCTTCCCGCTAGTAGCCGATCCGCCTCGATCCGTATATATAAACCGAGACTTCGTCTTACCCTTACGTCTAAGGCAAGGGCCCGCTAGCGGGCCCCGGACGAAACGTCTCCCCACTCCTTTCCTTTTCCACACACTTCGAATAGCCGCCAAAGTTATCTCTAACTTGATGCGACGTTAAGCACATAGAAGAAAAAATTATATTTACATTGCGTTTTTAATCCTTCTAATAATTGCATATATAAATAAATCATTTTCGACCAACATCGTTTATTGCCTACTACAGATCCGAATATCAAAACAAAAGCGAAAAATTATTAATTGAAGAAACATGGCAAACGTTGCGAGTTTGTGAACGTTATTTGAAATGAAAAATTGAAATCTTTTGATGATCACGTTCTGTTACTGATTTGTCCCACCAAAACTTGACAAATAACTATTACTTTTGGTCCTTGACGAACACTGAGCATTTGTTACTGGAATGCTCCGTTTTTGTTCCATCCTCGGACCGTTCCCTTATTTTTGTAGTCGCATCATCAAGCATCGAGGAACGTCCTGCCTGTTTGTCAACAATCCCCGGCGCTCGGGATCTTAAACGAAATAGAGACATATCTCGAGGATATCGAGAAGATGATGCCCGAAGAGTGATTTCTCGGGTTCGTAAGAACCGTGGCATCCGTAAACATCCCTGACTCGATTTGCCCGCGGGTCCTAGAAACCCTCCGGCGATTACTCGTCGGAAATGCGGTCGAGATACCGCGGGGGAAAGCGGTTTCTCGATTCGGTTCTAGCGCCGGGTCGGGCCGGGCCGGGCCGGGCCGGCTCGGACACTGTTGGATCTTAACCCGATCCCATCCGAGTTCATCCAATTTCCCCTTTGGACCGGACGCCTCCTATGAATAACCACCATAACCGCGACTTTTCTGATCGAATATCGCGATCCACATCCACACGATACCCGGACAAGAGAGCTATGCCCGACGGATTTCACGGAAACGGTCCGCTGAAGAAGTTTAAGAGGGACGCACCACCTGCAGAAACTGAGATAGCGAACAGAATAAACGTTCCCGAGCTCCTTATTATTCGTTCGAACGCCTCAGCCGATCGCGAACGCCACTTGGCCGATCGTGGACGCTTTCTGGCGTCGTTCGCCGCGGATTTCGAGCAGCCATCGACACGCTATAAAGCAAGAGGCACGTAAAAGCGGTAAAGAGTCCTTGTACGTGCCTGGATGGAAAGGATCGGTGTATTAAACCTTTCCACACATGCGTCACTTCGGGTACAGCTAATTAAACACCCGATGACTAGGTCTTGATATACGTGAATAAATGACTCGATATTGAATATAATGCTAACAATGACAGCGTTGAGACCCGCTCGTGGACTTAACGAATATTAACACTTTATCGACCGCTAGCCTATTTATCGGCTTTTCGATTGCCAATGTTTATCGATCGCTAGCCTATTAATCGGCTTTTCGATTGCCAATGCTTATCGACCGATAGCCTATTAATCGACTTTTAGCTATCGACGGTTTTCGCTTCTTTACTGTTTTGTTAGTAGCTGACCTCCTGTATGCTGACCTCCCCATATACTTATGAATTATAATTATAATAATTATATTATTATTTATTATTATTTTTAAAGGAATAAGCACAACACAATGAATAGCGAAAATTTAGCCGGTACTGGGAGCAAATGCGCGCGCGACTAAGCCAGTCCTTACTGAGTGGCAGCCTCAACCACGACCGGACGATAAAGTGTTAAGATCGGCCTGCTTCAGGTCAAACGAACAGTATACACATGTATATAGTTTATACAAGAAGATCAATTTTATTTATTTTCAGTTACTAAGCACTTCAAATATTAATGCTTAGAAAAGCAAATAATGACATTAATTCTTACACTAAAAATTACTTATTTTGCAAATTTAAATTACATTAACGAATAATATCACTATTAGGTACACCGTATGTAAGGATAATTGATAATTGATTATTCTTAATAGATTCTAATGTCACGTCTAGAAATATGATTAAGTCGTATAATGTTATAGCAAATTGATTTCAATCAGAAAATATTTTCTACCGCCCTTGGGTGCTATCTGGCGCAGAATGCGTTACCACGGGACCCATAATTCCTTGGAGTCAACGGAAATTGTTCGATTAGAGTGCTCACGCGAGTTATTTCGTCCTGTTCACAGCTGATCTTTGGTCTGGGAACGCCGCTGCAGCTGGAACGCGAGAGCGTGATCGTCGGTTACTTCGCAAAGATCGTGTTCGATCTACCCGCCAACGCTTCGGATTTCACCGAGCCCGGGATCTATTATTCTCGCACGCAGAGGAGCAGATGGAGTATCTACAGGTAATTAACAAATCAGGTTATTGACGATTTGACTGCCGATCTGGCAGCCGCGAAAGTTCCTTAAAATTAAAGCAATTTATTGAAGCGTATTTTCGAGTTCTTTTATTGATGATGAAATTTTATCAAATTATTAAATATAATATTACAATGCAAACAGAAATTTCTACACTAATTTCATACACAACATTTTGACGCACACATAACAATTTCAATCGCCTTTCAGTGTTTCGTTCATTATTCGATCGTTTAATGTATCAACTTTCACGTCACTATTATTATTCGATTATTCAATTATATCATTTTAATAAAAATGACCGCACACTCACATCCGCTTATTTGTATTGAATTTTATTAATAATAATCACATCCGCAATAAAACTTAACTGGTAAATATAATTCATGCTCACAAATTTTGGGTTCATGTACAATAAATCTACGCTCAAATAATAACAACTACTCCAAGATCAATATTGTTTTCTCGTTTAGTTACTAAGTACTTTAATTATTGGTACATAGTTAGAAATCTAAATAAAGAAGTTCAATTCTTTGCAGAGACATTTATTTAATCAATTATATCTATATTAACCCTCTGCAGTCCTATACCGAATTAAGCTCAACGTTGACTTGTGCACTAAGAATTGGTTATTTTGCAGATTCTAATTATATTCATGGCAATTGTGGTATATCTCAACTGCTTCAAATAGATTGTAAAGTCACGTTTAAAAATATAATTGAGTTATTCAATATTAAAGCAAATTCAGAAATAAAGAGGAA